AGTTGGACAGGGTTAACAAGGGTAGTCTGGTAACAATTCATCGTTTACAAGGCACTCACATGACGAGGTCGACGTGTTGAGGTTATTGTGTCGGCGGAGGGGGGAAGCGGACAGGGTAGGGATCTGGGTTAGGTTGTGGGCGTTGATCAGCGGTCAGATACATGGAGTGATATAGATTGGGAAGAAAAAGCTGTTTCGATTACCGGAATCATAGTTTTATTAGTCTGAATTTTCGAACTCTTGCGTGAGTCCATCGTCGTCCAAACATATCAATTTTTCAAGAAAGTAATTTTTCTTTCCAGAAATTTTATTTACCTCTGCAACAGAAGCTACCAAACCAATTCCCTTCCTATATATTCGTAGAGAGGAAGACTGCCAACGTCAGTTTATTGTAAAGATATATGCTCAGCCGTACGTTAGAATTTTGGAAATAGCCATCCTGTCACTCATGAACCCAGCTCTGTTAAGAACCTGTGTCAGACAATAACTCACTGTTCCGTTATGGATATTTTCAGACAGAGTGTATATATAGCAATTGTGTAGCTTCGATTTGTTTACAGATAAAATTTAGAAATCTTGTGTATGCAGGTAGCCGTGCCAGATAAAATAAATGCTTACAGTCTGCAGTTCTGGGTTTTTACCAACCAGTTCTCTGAACTGCAACACTGGTCTCAAGGTTGTTCGAATATCTTCGTACAGAGTTATTGTACCTTTTCTGTAATACTATGTAAAACTTAGCATAAGTGAGAACGGAATTATTGTTATAGATAAAACACACAAAAAATCATTCGAAGAATACGTTGACAATTGTTCACAGGGGTGCGTATCTGCGTGTCGGTGATGATAAAACTTGAAATCCCACTGAGGAAAACGAGATAGTTTGCCATTGAAAGTGGATTTTACGTTTTCAGGTTCTGATATGATCTCTCTTAAGCCACAATTTTCCCTAGAAACCTTATCTCGCGATCGTAGCAACTGCGGAGAAGTAGCGAGATTGACATTTTCTGTGCAGGAAGTGTTGCGTACATCCTTTTTGCTCATGTTTATGCCATTAAGGCCAGCAGTTGGTACTGGTATCATTGATATTATCTTTATGCGAATAAATTTTCCATTCGAAAATACACACAACATACCTACAAAAAGGTGGTTTTATTTCAGTGAAGTATGCTCAAATTAAAACAAAATGCTTTTTCGACTTCCACTTTATCACGCCTTTTGATGATACTTTGAAAAAAGGTAGGCGCCAGACCACCATAGACCAACATATTATTTTAGGAAGACCTTGAGATAAAAGCAGTCGACACCTGAGAAGACAACTGGTTGCGGAACGTGACCGTCTTTGACCGTGGTTTTGAGGTGCAGAAAACCTCTTGATCCAGGCCATACATCTTCTTTTAAGGCCAGATGCCATCGTCAAGTAAATCTGCCACCCTAGGGTGACTTAACTAATTTCCGGTGTCTATTTGCTATTTCCGTACGCACGTAATGTTTATTTCGCTAGAAGAATCGCAGAGAAATATAGATTAGGGCTGTTTCAAGGACTGAGAGTTATACATAGTCTACGCTGTCTTAAGCAAAAATTTGTCCGCAGGCATTCTTGTTTTAAGTCGCTCTTTTGAAATCATCAACTGTTAACCTGACTTCTGTTATCGCCATCAACCTTTGCTGCCTGTCAGTGAGTAGGAAGGCGATGTACACATACAGTCCGCGTCAGGAAACCCTCCACCCCCTCTAGTCATCAAACACAGTTGCCTGTCCGAGAGGACGTAAACATTTGTGACCGCTGAAGCTTCTCGGCAGCTTTTGCATACTTCCGGACACACTTATACAGCGATGTCCTCCCGCCCCCGCCCTTATCTATCTGTTATCCTGCCAGCTGAGAAATTTTTACCTCGGCGAAAGACATCTGCCCGCAGGACGTTACGCACACTGAAGCCTACGGCTTTGCAAATGGCCAGCAGTTAACTGACAGTCAGGCTCGTTTATAAGTGATTATATTAGAAATTGGGTTTCTTCGTGGAGCTGACCGCATGGAATGCAGAATTGGTGGTGTTCACGGGTTGTACAGTACATTGCCTATCGCATGAAAAGTCATGGTATAAACAAGAAAATTGGTTTTTTTACGCGAAGTCAAAACAGGTTACGTCCTTCCAAATTTTGCAGTAGTAAATAAAGTATCGTATATATACAAAGTTGATGAAATACTGTTAATGAACTTACGCCTATTTGGCTTTCACTAAAAACTGGGGTGGATGTTCAGTTTTCCTCCTTGAAATTATTTAAATTATTCAACGTTAGGCCTAATGTTTGCCAAGAAAAGAAGCTTGCCTTAAATAAAAAAATAAATGCAACCAATTTACTTGCAGTTTATTTTACTGTTTTGTGTAATTTTTGTTTTTCTTTTAGTTTCTTATTAAGTTTTATGAGTCTTCATTTGATGTTTGGTTTTGTATTTTCTAGTGTATGTTTCCTTAGTTATTTAAGTTGCTTTTTAGTTAACATTGAGCTTACTTTTAGATTTATTAGCCAAATTTGGTTGAATGTGTCAATTTCTTTTCAATAATTTTAAAAAGATTTTTCTACAAGATTGAGATCCGGGCTGTTGGCAGTAATAAAAATAGGTTAAAAGCCATATGTGCGGAGACTCTATATTGTCTTAAAGATTAAAAAACAGTTTATAAGTTACCAAATTAATAACGCTTTCGAACAGTGAGCTGGAGCTGACCTCTACAGTGATGGCGTTTAGTTTGCGCGAACAGATGCCGTTGTAACTAAAGATGTCCTTTAGGGTGTCAATAAATACCTTACAAAATACCGCAAAATTCGCCGAACTTAATTTT